GAAGATGCCACACATCACCTGAGTCACTGCTAATAGAGGATTCCCATTGACCCCTGACCTTGCCCATGCCCCAGGAAGATCTCATGGTGTTGTGTAACCCACCCAGACCTATGATGGAATATTTCAAATATACTTCAGCCTGGTCCTCTTCTGAGTCTATGTCAGTATTTGTATATTTCTGGACCTTTAGAAAAAGCCTCACTTCTGCAAATGAGGAAACAGAAATGTGTGCGCACTTGCATCTGTGTGTGCAAAGTGTGTTAATGATGCCTATGCAGTTTTTACCTGTGCACGTTTAAAGAAATGCTGAATTTAGGATTTGAACGGAAGCAAGCACCTTGCCTAGCCTCCTCTGCAGACACCAGTGGAACCGTAAGATGAGGGCAGGGCAGAAGGGCACAGTCTGCAGAGCTGAATGCTTTGCTGTATTTTTATCCACCTCCTTTTTTCCCAGAAGCCAAGAGAAAGCACTGATCTCACCACTGATCTCACTTCCTGAGGCAGCCAACGAAACTTTAAAGGGCAGGAGGCAGGGTTGTCTTTGATTTCTTCTCAAAAGGGGAATGCAAGCACATTTCTTTCCTTCACATCACCTGGAATTTTATGACACTTCTCCCTTTCTCAGGCCTTTCTTCTTCCATTTAGCACAGGAACTAGGTTAATTCGAGAAAAAAAATGAGCAGTTTATTTCTATTGAAAAAGAAAATTGGAAGACATTTTCCAGCTCTATCTGTACATTTCCAGGCCTTTCTCTCTCCCCATTCTCTTTCCCTTCACTGGACCAGAAATTAGCAGTGCTGCAGTTTGACTGATAATTTAATCAATGATTCTGCAACAAAGGATGTTCATTTCTAAATTAAAATAGCATACTTCCTTTCTTCATTGACACCAGTCAAACATCTCCCTCAGTTTCCCATTTTTAGTCACGTTACATAGGTGCTAGAATTAGCATGACAGCTCTGTAGGGAGTGTCAGTCCACTTTGTGAGTGTCTTTAGGCTCCTTGTTACAGCTCATAATTGTCCAAAAATGTAGAATATCCAAGATTTGGTTTCCAGTTACACATTTGGACAAAGACAGTGCACATCCCTGCTACTAATTGAAGCAAGGATGCACTCTGTAGCAGTTCCCACATGGGCAAAACCCAGAGAAGTGTTGTTACTTGGGGGGGAGAGGGTGAACCCATTTGCACTTTTGTAAGCACACCAGCAAAAAAAATATATATCTAGCAATGGAGAGGTCTTTAAGGGCAAATCTGATGTTATTACTCTCACAGCTCTATCTTTCCAAGGTCTCCCTACATACAGACAAGGTAATTCTCATTTAATACTTGCTTCCAATTTTCTCCTCAAAAAGCATCAAGAGATACAATTTAAAGGTGTTATACATAGAAGACAAGAAAGCCAGCATAGTACTTCAGCCTTATTATTGACAGTCTGTGTTCCAAAACAGTGGGCTTGGCAGGGCTGTGCTACTTGCTCCTTCTATAATTGGGAGCTTATACATGATTGCATTCCTTATGCCAGACCGGAGGTAGGTGACAGTACAGACATTTCCATCCCCCTCGGAATCATTCATAGTTTGAACCAAAAGGAAAAAAACTCTAGAAATTAGATGAATGTTAATTAAAGTATTTGTGAAATGGATTTCATTCAGTTATTAGGATTAGCAGTAAATACAGTTCTGAACATTCTTTCTGGGTGGAATACTAAGAAATGGAATCTCTATCTGAGCTTTGAGCAGAAACGATATTGGCGTGTCACAGTACATTATCCAGCTTCAATACGAGCACATCTTCCTCCAATATTGCCATTTATACAATGCCCGACCACCTGCCAGTGGGGTTGCTCCCCATTCCTGCAAGAGGGCTGTCTACCTTTTTCAAAGGCATTTCTACAAGAGTAGCACATGCAGAGTTTTTGCTCATATATCTTCATTTACTTGGCTTTTTTTTTTAAAAAAAGCATACTTTGAGTTTGCATCTCCATTTGTTACAATGGAAGTCTGTCCTCCCCTTTGAATAACTGATCTTAAATGTGGCATTTGGGTTCAGGTTTTTGTCCCTGAAGCCTCAGGAAAAGGAAGGTTACTGTGTGTATTCAACTTGTTTCCTGTTTTCCTAGGTCCATCCATATTTGTTTCATGTCAATGATGGAGACAGAACTGGGCTTCTCCATATACTTCTTTCCCACTCCATATCATCCTATGTGAAACCAGGGCCATCAGGATTTTTGAAAAAAGATTTTCACATGCTTCGCTAAGTCCTCATTTATTAGTAGGGTTGCCAGATCTCAGGGCATCAGCTACAATGTTAGAGAATTGCAGGAAAAAAAATGTATTTTTTAAAATGTAAGGTAGCTTGAAGGAGATCTTAGCTGGCACCAAGGCTTAGTATTCCAGCATGAAGTTGCCTTTATATGTGTTGTATATGTGCTGAGTCAGGATATCAAAAAGCTAGGAGTGAGGATACTGAAGAGAGACCTGGTGAGTACAGTCAGGATGCTTGAGTGCTTGAACTTGGGTGCCGTTTGGAGTAAGGATGGGAGTAGAGAACTAGTGTTAACTTCTAAACTTTCTTTCTGCAGAAGCCCTGGATGTAGTGGCAAGGCATGGGGGGCTCCCCCCCCAATTCCAGAAACAGCGTGGAGCCTATAAACCTTCCCTTCTCCTTGCCCATGTTATACATGCTGTAACATGGAATAAAAGCCTTAAGAGGAATGGTAGCAAATGCTTTGTCTGCTGCACACATTTTTCTGGCACACTATTTGTCCCCCTATTGCTCCATCATTTTTTTAAAAAGCATCCAGAATTTATTTTAATACGATTTTCCCATTTCACCTCTCACCTTTTCTGATCTGCACAGAGCTAGTTATTCCAAGCCAAGCTAGACCCAACATTTATCTCTTTCTCCTCACATTAGAGATAGCTGGCCACCAAAGAAGCCCTTTAAGACTCATGTAATCATGTTTTTATGTGCTTTATTGTCTTGTACAGTATGTCACTATGTGAGGTCAGTGTGTCCTCCATGGGGGGGCAAAATCTTTTAAATGCATGCATGAATTATTATTTTTCTCCATTTGCTCTCACTGTCCTCAGTTTCATTTGTTCTTCCTGATATTTAATTCAATCAGCAGTGGTGGCTGATATGATATCTTAGGTGACATGGTGTCTTGGGGTTGCTATGTCTCCCAGCAGTGGCTGAGCTCACATGGAATTGTTGGGCTTCCCTGGATCTCCAAGTGGCAAGCAGCACTGGAAAGTCCAATTTGTAGGAGGTAAATTTAATGTCTGGGCACCTATCTCAGTAATAATAATAAGGCTCAATAATACAGTGCAAAGGTGTTCTTCCCACTCACCCTTCCCCATATAATGTTTTTTTTTAAGATTAGTGACCAAGAATAAGGTGGGGAACTGGAGAGAGCATTGGGAGGATATACATGCTCTTAAGTCCATTGTGCCATTTGAAACAAAGCAGGGAGTGATGCATGTGCATCATGACTCATTTGACTTATTGTTACATAGATCTTAGCAACAGTGGTGCAACTGCAGAAGTACACCCTGTGAGCTTTAGATAAGCTTTCTTCACCTCCCAGCAGGAACAACAGGTTTGGAAAAGTTCATACTATAGTATGGCTCTGGGTTGCCATTTTTGCCTAGCTAGTTGGGTTTTATCTGGATTCTGAGCCCATTTATTCATACTACCTTTGTATCATAGCAATTTGCTCTAGATTCCCCCTCTCAAACATCATGAGGGGGTTTCTAAGACAACAGGTGGTGGAACAGAGCACTAATGGTTTTTCCTCTCCCCCTCCCCACACATCTCAGGTTTAGGCCCTGAAATGTCAGGGAATGAGATGCTGCTGACCTGGCTACCGTATGTAACTGACAATGAAGCTACAGTCCTTTGCATTATTGTTAGGAAAGGGAATTCATCTCCTCCTCCTTCTGTCTCATAACAGTTCTGAGTTTGGCAATCAGTCAGTCTCTTACTCTCTGTCTCAGATATGCACATACATCAGGAAAATGAAGGCCAGTTCCCAGAATTTTCTTAGATTATTCTCAGCTCTGCCATATTTTGCAGCAGACCACTCCTCTCCCAGTATCCTCTTCTCAACAGTGGGAGCACTGAAGAAAATGGTAGGTAGGCTGACAAAACATGCAGCTGCTTTCACACATCCCATGGAAGGAAAGAAAAAAGACTCTGCTGCTCCTATTGTGGTTCCTTACATGTGAGAAAATGCCGTAGGATTTCTTTTCCATCTGGAAAAATTCTGTGAAGTAGTCCCCCACATGCCTCACTTCCTTTGCTCCAAAATGGAGAAAGATGGGTAGGAGAATCTGGGAGAGGCCACTTTCCAGTATTTTCTCCTTTTGAACAAATTTGTTCAGCAATACCAGATATTTTGCTTTTAATGGGAACAGTGAAATTAGCAAACCACACATATTGTAATAATTTTATTTGCAGTCAGTCTAGCTTTTTGGTGAAGAAGAAGAAACTTCCATCACCAAGGAGGGAAGAATAATCAAAATGCTCTCATGTCCCAGCTGTCAGCTACAGAGCACTACCGCTGTGCACAATGTTAGAGGTCAAGTGAGGTATATTAACCTAATCCCCAGGTACAAGTGTTGGAAGGGATACATTTTTCTATCACAACATACATGGCAGGGAAGGGGGAGTGAGGCAACAAACTATCAGCTGTGGAAATCCTACTATACAAAACAGAAATTGTTTGCTGCAGTGTATCAGGAGATTGAGTCTTATCTCTTTGCAAAGCCTTGGAGATCTTTATGTCCAACCAAACCATTCATTCTGTGATAAATTGCGGCACAAAAGTTACAAATTTGACCTCTGCTGCTAAAAAGAGTGATCATAGAAAGTGAAAAGGCATGGGGAGTTGTTTTCTATGTATAAAGTTAAAAAAACAACACAACAAAATAATGGACATCATGTCCAGTCTAGCAAGAGAGATGCACAACAGAAGCTGTGTTTTGGATTAAAGCAGTTTTTTCCCCAGACATAAACTAACTATATCACTTAATTCTCCTCTATACATATTGTGGTAAATATAACTCCAGATGCTCTCTGGTTACTCAGATAATCCTTACCCACCCCTTCCAATCCTGACTGACAAGCAAAGGTGAAGGATACAACAGCCATTTCTCTGGTCTGGTGAAATGATGATCAGGTGGTGGGAACATCAGCCAGATATATAAGCTGTAAGTCACATCTGTCACCTGCCCTTCCCAGGCCACTAGCATCCTCCTACCCATCCCTAGCTTTCAATCAGAGCTTAGCTCATCCAAGAAAAGTTGCCTCCTCAGCCAAAGGACCATATGGACAGTCCATGTACAGATATTGTCCATTGTCAAAGTGGAGCCCTAGTCTGATGATAGGCTGTAGGCTTCAGCGGAAAACAATCCAGCTGAGGGGTTCGAGGGAAGGGCAATGGCACACACACATCCCTTCTCTCCACTCTTGAACTGATCCACCACTACCTTATTCTTTGAAATAGAAGTCGTTTGCCTTTCACAAGCATAATTTCACAATAGGATTTTGGCCCATAAATGGAAAATCATAACCCACTTTATATCTTAAGGGATATAACTGGACAACCCTAATATTAGGCAGTCTAAGGCCACTGTCTCAGTCAGCAAATGCTGGAAGGCAGTCATGGCAGACTTTCAGTATTTTCTCCTGAGTCTCACCATTTTTTTTTTCTTTGAGAAGAGTGTCATGTGTGTCTGACTGGCACCCAGAGCCAGTCCTGACATTAGGGGAATGATCATTCTGTTCTCATGAAATTTATCTGGTCCAACACAAGATATTGCTTTACATTTTCTTCAGAGAAAGACAGCCATATCCTGTGCAGGATACACTTCTTTTTTGCATAACCTAGGAAGTAGCATCTTGAAAGCTCAACTGAAACCATTCTTTATGAAGAAAATCCCTCCCTGTTTCTGTCATATGCTACCAAATTCCCTCTCCACAAAGTGTCATTCAGTAGCTATCCAGCTGTAAGTGTAAGGGATATGTTGCTGTTTTATTGTTTTTATCCTGTGTGGGTTACAATGCTAGTGTTCAAAGGTTAGTGAATGGCATGGCAGAAAGCTCCACTGAAATAATTTTTCATACAGAAATTCCCCTATTATATCGCTTATCCGTAACCAGCACAACAATCCCAGGAAGTGTCAGAGGAATTGCTTGATTTTGCACAGAGTGTTTTTTGTTTAGTTTGTTGTGTACAGAAAAGAGAGATCAGGTGCTTCACTCTGGTGTTAGTCCAGATGAATCTCACAGAAGCAGAAAGAGTTTCATCACAAAATTACAACATAACAAGATAGGGCATGGAACTAAGAATGAAACATTCATTGCATCTGTAATGAATCACCTAATCTCATACCTACTGCTGAACTAAGGACTTCAGCTGCCAGGCCAGTCAGCTTTTGTACATGGCATGGAGGGAGTGCTATCTTGTTATTGCTTCAAGAAGGCATTGACCTACCTGAATAAAAGTGCATTTCCCTTTTGGCAGAAAGGCAACAGGGATTGATCCAGCCTAACATACTTTCAAAAGGTAGTTCAGGTCTTGGGAGCAGCCATTTCTTATGTCCCCACTGGAGATGCATCAGAAAGTTGCTGAACAAAGAAATATTTCCTTCAACATTCTCAATGCTGTACAGGAAAATCTTGTTCTTTATGTACAAATTACCAAGGCATCATAGGTGAAAACTAGCATCTTCAAACTCTTGGACGAATTCGGTCCATCTGTATATATTTTGTTGTTGTTCCTTCAGAACTTTTCAACCATCTCATGGAGAGCTCCAAGAAACACGAAGGCTTCCTCCCTGTTTTTTTTCTCCTCATTTTAGTATTGTACATAATTTCTTATATTTATATCAAGTGCCATCCTCTGTTTAAGTGGCAGAAATGATTATGGATTTGACTATGATGTGTGATGTACCTTAAGCATTAACTGAAGAAGAGTGCTGCTGAAAAAAAACCTTCTTATTGTTTTATTATTATTAGTTCTATTTGGGAAGGCAGAAAATAAGAATCTCAGACTCAAGGCTTGGGCATTATTAGCCTTGAAGTTTAAGAGCAAAACAATTAATTACCTTACCATAAACACATATGGAAAAGGAGACTTTATAGTGTCTTAGTGCTAATTGTTTAATCTTCTGGTTAGTCTCCACCAGTCTTCAAGATACTTTCTGTTAGCAGCAAAGAGTCCTTGTAATGATGATACACACTGAGTTATGTGTCTGTTAACATCTGCCAGTGGCAAGGAGAGCAAAGCTAGCAAGCTCTCACTCATCCCTAAGTGTTCTGTGGGCCTAGAATGACTTAACATTGCACATCCTTAATAGATTTAAAAGCATCTCATATAGATTAGCTGCAATTTCAGGACACCACCTGCAAGTGACTGCAGTGTGAGTTGAACAATTTATTCATTAGACTGTTAAAATAGAACATTTTTGCAGGGGGGAAGATACAGCAAGAGCTATATGCAAATGGCTGCTTGAAATCTCAGCTGGATGGACACTGGGATTCTGAGCCGAGAGGAGAAAACAAGTAATAATGGTTCACTATGAGTGAACTTATTATCTGTTTCAGTAAGAACTCACTAAACATTAGCTCTTATTATTTTGCAGAAGCTAAGATGGTAGTGTGTGAATAGCAGCACAGATGTGCTTTGCTAGCCTTGTTTTAATTTTTCTGTTATGACTGGCCATATCTGCTTTGAGTGTTATATGTTCTCATCTCCCATGCAATTTAGTTGCCTGAAACACTCCTGTTAACAAGTGGGATTCTCAGAGTAAACTATACAGAAAATCTAATAGTAACCACAAAGTGTGGGGAAGAAAAAAAGACGAAGAGCAAGATCCTACTCACATTCTCCGTCATAGCCTGTCAAAAACCTACAAATGAATGATCTGATACCGCAAAAGGATTCAGTGAGGGATCACTCTGCACTTACTTGCCCAAACAGGTACAAGATCTAGTATGACCAGATAGGCGGGATAGAAATAAAATAAATAAATAAAATAAATAAATCTTAGATGTACAGCTAGAAAATCAAAACCCTGCCAATGAAATTTCCTCTCCTAATAATGAATTGTGGTCATTAAATCCTGAATCAACATTTCAGATAAAAAGTTCCCTCAGAATGCAGAAGTTAATCAGGACTGCCAAAGGGAAGCGCTGATAGGCTTAATATCAGAGTACTCCTTCCTTACATCTGATGTTGCTAAAAATATCTTCTAGCAACTCACTCTCGTATCTGGCAAACCTGACGCATTAAGACAAGCATATGATGCTTGCAATCAGAAGATTTTAGACAGTCTGCCTCCACTGACTGCTCAGATGAACTGTGTAATACTCAACCCCACACTGCCTATCAGGAAGGCACAAACCTTACAAGATTCTACTTCTGGCAGAGTTAATGTTTGGAGGGATGAACAGTTGGCAAAGCCCCAGCAATCACAGCACAATCAAATAGTACTCAATATTGGCAACAACCAGCTAAACCAGCAATGACAGACAAATAAAATAACTATTCAATATTCATTGAGTCATTTCCTACACTCAGATGTGCATCATACTGATCTCTGGAAAACTGAGAGATTACCAAGACTAAAATCAAGAATGAGAAAAATGAAAAAAAACTCCTTTAATTTAGATATATCTGCATGTCAGGTATCTGCTGATGAAACTATCTGCCCTCTAATTGCAAATAGTCCTGGTAGATCACTTTCAACTTATGATTTTGAGACTGCAAGTTCTGCAGCCAAAATGCCAGCCTTATTTCAAGATGTTGATAAAGGAAAAGCACAGCTGCCAACAGCACCCGATTTATTACAGGACAGAGGCTTGCAACATTTTAACCCTTTAGAAATTGACCTTCTGGATGATCAACAAATGTCTGATATTGAATGGGAGAGCCTCAAGAATGCTAGGCAAAATGCAAGCTCTCGGGTTGAGACTCTAGCCCTCTCCCCTTAAGGAAGGTAATGCCTAAGATTATGACAAACAAGCAATCACAGCTGCCATACAATCCACTGGCTGCTAGAAACAATTTTACTGCTGACAAGTACAGTCCAAAACATCGGCAAAAATCCCCAGAGCAGACTCATGATTCTGTACAAATAAATGTTCGAAATCAGACTGAGACAAAGTCTACACCGAATCCTAATTCAAAGACTGCAAGCTTGCCAAAAGCACAAGGCCTCCCAGGAGAACTCAACAGTTTTGGAAGTATATCACTTTAAGCTTACACCTTGAGCAACACTGAATCAATAGATGCCTCTGCAGTGGTACAGATACTTCCTTGTCCTGACCAGGATAGAACTGCCTGATTACCCAATTTCTAGCAATCTGCCAGATCTTGACAGTCCTTCTTCAGGATCACAAAAAACTCCTGTGGCCCCACAATATAATCAAATATGTACCAAATTTGTCACCTAGAAGAGTGCTTCCAAAACTTGGGACCCCATATGGATTAAAAACCCCAGAAGCCTTCACTACTATCTCTGCTCATCAAGATTTCTAGGAGTTATAGTCCAAGAACAACTAGGAGCCCAAGTTCAGGAACCACTGTCCTTGAAGATTACTGAATGCCAGACCTAAAATCAGTTTTAGAATACTCTCCTCTAAACTGACATTTTTAACCTAGAGTGAGCATTATTTAAAACATATTTCTTGAAATGTGTCTGGCTTTTGTTCTTGTTTAGTCATTAAGTCATGTCCGACTCTTCGTGACCTCATGGACCAGAGCACGCCAGGCGCTCCTGTCTTCCACTGACTCCTGGAGTTGGGTCAAATTCATGTTGGTCACTTCAATGACACTGTCCATCCATCTTGTCCTCTGTTGTCCCCATTTCCTCTTGACTTCACATTTACCCAACATCAGGGTCTTTTCCATGGAGTTCACTTTCATACATCATTACTGGAAAAACCATAGCTCTGACTATGCAGACCTTTGTCGGCAAGGTGATATCTCTGCTTTTTAAGATGCTGTCAAGGTTTGTCATTGCTTTCCTCCCAAGAAGCAGGTACCTTTTAATTTCATGGCTACTGTCACTATCTTCAGCAATCATGGAGCCCAAGAAGGCTCCATATCTTCCCCTTCTATTTGTCATGAGGTGATGGGACCAGTGGCCACGATCTTAGTTTTTTTTATGTTGAGCTTCAGAGCATTTTTTACACTCTCCCTCACTAAGAGGTTCTTTGATTCCTCCTCACTTTCTGCCATCAGAGTGGTATCATCTGTATATCTGAGGTTATTGATATTTCTTCCAGCAGTCTTAATTCTGGCTTGGGAGTCATCCAGTCCATCTTTTTGTATCATGTATTCTGCATATAAGTAAAATAAGCAGGGAGACAATATACAGCCAATGCATTTATTCAGCTCGACATCTAGGGAGAGAGTGTCAGAGATCATTGAGCCAAAGTACACAATGTCATGAACAACCTCCAATTCTTGCACGGAGATAGTAATAGAGGGAGAGATGTTCTATCAATTATTGGCTTCAGCTTTGCTTTCAGATACAGATAGCAGCGGACACAGGTGACATCA